CTTTTTCTTCTCGAATTCGCAACATCCTTGGCGTACTCGGCCAAATTCGGCCAAATAGAGCAATTAATTAAATCGCAATACGTAATAATTAATCGTCGAGATGTAAGTATAAACGTCAGTCGCCGGAAGCATTTATATTTAAGCGAAACTATTTTAGCGATGGTCGTCGCGATCGTGATTCATCATACGCGGAGGTCACTTTGTGAAAAATGATAAAGAATCAAGAAAATTTCGCCTCGACGAAGATATCGTGCGCACGAGGGGATCGTCGTGTTTATTTTCTAGAACGTAAAAATGTAATATGCCTTTAATAAATAAATATTTCGCTAGAATATCCATTTTCCGTTTTTAACCATCTATCTACGTAGATAATTATAGATTATAATAGATTAATATGACACGATATAATAACATGTTGGAACTGTGCTTTCTCTATTATAAATGTATGTTAGTCAACGGCAAAGTGTAAAGAATAGTGGACCAGATATCGATGTTGAAATTACAAATATATTGCCATGCCACAACATCTTCCGATCCAACGTTTTCCACCCAGTATCGCGCCATATTATTAAACTTCTTTTCCATCCACGTCTGCAATAAAAAATTCAGTAGACCACATAGAATACTTATTTATTCGTCAATTATTTTACCTAGCAGTCATTATTTATCAATATCGCTAAAGTCTTATTAATTGAAGATTAAAAATTTCAGATAAACCTTCAATTTATTTAAAAATTAATTTTGTTTTATTTACCAACTAATAAAAACAGATTATTTCTTATGAAATTTATTACCCTTCTATTTTGTATGATCCATGCCATTATTAATTGATTTCTTTGCAAAATTGTAAATTTCTTTGCTTTGTGCAAGTAAAATCGCATGCTCGAGTTACGACCCCGAAGAACATTCAGATATGCTATTAGTAGGTACAAACGTGGTTTTATAACTTTCGTGTGCTTGGAAATACGTTTTAGACATTTGATCATTTTGGAAATATCTTGTAGATCCAATAATTCATTAGGACGTTTTATATTGATGTACCGTAGTAGTACCAGCAAGTAACACTCGAGCCCCTAAAATGAAAATGTATTAAAACATTGTAGCGAGAGTTACTTTTTATTGCTTGTCGCAAGCGTACATTATTTGTTTCAATAGATAAATATAATATAATTTATTTTTAGGCAAATTCGTTTAATTCATATTTTTTACGTGGTCAAGATTTTAAGCTCTTCTTAATTAATCTTCTTCATTTTTTGAATTTATTAAATAATTTAAATTTAAAAATTATTATTAAATTATTAAATTATAAAATTATTATTAAATAAATTCAAAAACTAAAACTAAAAAGATTAATAAACAGATTAAAATCTTGCCTGCTCATATAACGTTGTGAATTTACCTATTTTCTATTGGATACCGATTTATATGTACTTATTTATTTAATTTATTTTTATTTTTGTATTATATAGAATTTTAATTGCCTTATCTTTTATCTGTAATCATTTTATCTATTTATTATTTATTTCTTGCATTACACGTATTCAATTCTATTTAATAAAATTATTATTATTATATTTAATAATTAATCTTGAGAGCAAAAAATACAATTACCTTTACACAATTTACATATTCATAAATTAAAAAAATTCATTACATTTATCTAAGAAATAAGATGACTAATAAATCTTTATCTGTCTTTTATGTTCATAACAAAAAAATGAGAATGGGCATTCAAGATTTTTTAGCATACCTTGCTGCAAGTGAGAATTTGAGAAAAATCATCGTAGCTAATATCTTTCACATATTTTTCCGTGCTGCATACAAACTCATGAGTAACCGTCAGTCCCCTGCAGTAACGCAACGTCGTTTAATTGTCAACACAACGACTTTAAAATATATTAAATAATATTTAGTCACCCTTAGATCATAAAAAAAAAGAGACTAATGGCGGTACATTAAAATCAGGTACAATTTATGAGTTCAGAAGGTGGTAAGAGAACAATTGTCAAGTAGACTTTACTAGCCATTACTTTGAATAGGAAAGATTTTATCACAAAGAAACTTTAGAAAGTGTTTATGAGGGAAATTGAATACAAGAATATTCACATTCTGAGCTGGTACAGCCATAGATTTGTTAATAAGCGACACAAGCTTTGTGGGTCACGCCATACGCAGGAGCTCGGTCTGTAAGCTATAGGTCCATTCTTTCGTGTTAGATGTAAAATATAATTATAATGTGTGTATAAAGTTTCACGTGTTCACGTTGCAATTCTTACCTATAAATTCCTTATAATAGTTATAGGACGTCTCGTATGATTCCAACACTATTCCTCCATCCAACATCAGATCTAAAGAAAGGGCGTAATACCACGTCTTGGCTGACCAATCTATGTCTTCGTCCGCCAAAAAGTACAACTCCCACATAAAGTCGACAGTTTTATTGATACGTCTAGTCCATAACTGATCGAATTATGGGACAAAAGGATATTAGACGTACAAAAAATATATATATATATA